TTTATTATTTTCCAGGAATTAAGGTTGTGTCTTTGTCAAACCCCCAAAAAAGTAAATTTCAAGTTAGACATCGAGATTCATAATTAGCCGAGTTTGACTTGCTCATCTTTCTCAAAAGTGACAGGCTGTTCACTTACTCTTAAATACTGTCTTCAGCAAACAGTGACAGGATCAACTCCCGTTTGTTATCAGGAAAAAGGTGACCTTTACAAAATGATGGCCCTCTGCAAGACTCTCACAGATGTTCAAAAAACTGAATGTTTTTCAGTGGAAATATTTCTTCTTGATCATTTCTCCTGTTAACTGTAGCCCTGTGGTCTTGCAGCTTGGATGCTAATTCTTCGCTGTGCTTAGTCCTGTATGGCTAACCTTTCTGCTGCAGTACAGGGTGTTGACACTGACATGCTGCAGTTTACCATTTGTGATTTATTTAGGATAAATATGTCTCAGGTGGCATTTAATCCTTCATAAAACCAGTGTAGCCTGCAGTGTCAAACCAGCAATCACATTGTATGCACAATGAAAAGAGCAGACCTTTGCATAAAAAAAAAAAAAAAGAAAAAAAAGCCAGTGGTAGGTGTTCCCGTGCTTGGGAGCATTGGAAAGGATTCACTAACCGACTCGGTGCTGTAATTACCTGGAAGCTCAGGTTAACTGTACTTCTCTCTGAGTGCAGCCTGATCAGGAGAGCTAATATTTTTCTAGGGGTTTTTTCTTTTTTTTTTTTCCCCTCCTTCTTAATGTGCACTTTAAAGTTAACTTTTTCGTGCCCTACGAATGCAGCATTAGAAATCAAGGGTGACGTTCGTTCCTGTGCAGACAGCCTGCTTAAGGACTCCACGCAGTGTCTCCACCTCATGCTAAAATGCTCTTTGCCATACACCAAAAGTTGGGGCTAACGGCAGATCTCTCCCAGGAAACTCATCTCTGGTCTCCCTCCCATGCCTGATCTCCTCCTGGCGCTGTGCCGTATCGGAAACCAGAAGGAGATGAGCTGGATCACTCCATGGATCTGCCAAGCTTTCCCCTGCCCTGGGGAGCAGGGAAGAAGGCAGCGGAGGGAGGCTCTTGGGGTAGAGGAGCACCTGAAAAGGACCTGAGCCCCCAGGATGGCCACGCACGGTGCTGGCCAGGGGCCGGTAGCATGTTGGGGAGCGGGCTCAGGGGCTGCAGGACCGCTTTCCTTCAGGTAACATCCACCATAGAAGAACCTGTGTGGTGGATCTAGAAAGGTGTGTAGTCGTCCACTCCTAAAAGTATGTTTTGCTGTTTGGTTTGAACACCTTCAGTTGCCTCTCTCCCGGCGAAACAAAGGGCTACGCTGTAATGGAAGCGGTTGTTGAGAGTGCAGTACTCCCGTGCCAGTCGGTTGCCTTCTGATGTTCTGTCTGCCAGAGCCATTGGCTTAATTTCCTCTTTGTTATCCATGCTGAATAAGCATTAACAAAGTTGGATCATACTGTGATGAAGCCAAACAGGTAATAATGTAATTGTTCAGGAAGCATTGAACTAGTATGCAGGGGAAAAAAAAAAAAAAAAACAACAAAAAAACCCCCAACCAACGACAACCAAAAGTGAACAAAAAAACCCTAAATGAGAACAAAGCTGGAGGAAGAAGAAATGTTTCTGGCCAGCAGTTTCACCCTCCATTTCTTAAGAATCAGATACACACCTCCTGAGGCAATGTCTCCGGGCCCCTGAATTCAGACTTCATCTTTGGAAATGGGAGATAAGAGAAAGCTGGAAACTCTATTTAGAGAAATATAGTTCCCTCAACAAAAACAAACCAAAAAGAACCCGAAAAACCAACGCAACCCGAAGCACCCGCGGCTACATACCATTCTGCCTGACTACCAGCTCCACTTCGCTACGGAAGCAAGAGGAGCCAGCGCCAACCCTTGATGTGCTAAGGTATGCGCGTGTGGATTGCGCGTAGTGCTGCAAGCGCTCCTGTCATTTATGAATGCTGCTTTAATACCAGAAATGTTAGCTGTGAGTCCTGGTGGAAATATATTTGTGATTGTTGTGGACAGTGGACTCAGCTCGGATAATCGCTGTAGGAATATCTGCATGTCGAAGTTTTTGTGCCTGGGGCTAGCCCTGAACTGAACCTGAGCTTAAAACGCGGTGAGTCCTCTTTCAGAAAATCATGGGGATTGAGAGATGGGGTTGGAGCTATTGGCAGAGCAGTACAAGGAGCTGGCGTGGTGGTAGGCGCAGGCCTCGAAAAGCGAATTCTGGGACTTTTTTCCAACTTTCCCTGCTCCATAGTCTTCCTGAGCACAAAAGATGTAAACAGAATCAAAAAAGAGAGAAGGATGAAGACAAAAGCACTCCTGAAATTGGAAACAAAGTTAGTTCTAGTGAGAGGATTAAGTAACAGAAAAAAAAAGGTCATTCGTTTGGCAAAATAAAAAAAGAGCTATGAGTTTTCACTTATTTTACTGTGCAATATTAGCCCATAATTTAAGATAGCACACGGCTCACTTAAACAGCCTACCCCTGTTCCATCTTGTTGAAGAATACAATTCGTTTTCTACTCCTCTAGGGTGATATCATTTTATATGAAGAAAAAAGTTAGCTCAGATGGCAGTTATATGTTTCGGAAGCACCTTCTAATCAGGGATTGGTGATTCATTATTAGCTTCAGCAGGCGATCCATCTGACATGTAAGGGGAAAAAATTAGCAGCTGTCACTGCATGATGAGTTAATTTCCTGATAGGCCTGACACTGAAAAGCCATTTGGAGACATGGAGATGGCTGATGAGAAAACCTGGTGCTGGTTTATAATTGGAGAGAAAGAAAGGGCAGAGAGACAGAGGGAGCTGGGGGAGGGACTGAGGCTAATCCACAAGTGGGGATGGATGTTTGTGTATTTACTAAATAGACTGCTTCACAATAACCCGCATTACCGCGCATACACACCTCGGCGGTTAAGTAATAAGGACCGGGGCCTTTCATTTTCCTTCTGCCGCGTGTCATTATTTCTAGTCATTTGTAATTAGTACTCCAGAAGGTTTTACGCTTACTTCAACCCGGGTGAACGGTGTACAAGCACGCGATTGGGTTATCTTGCGGTGACATTGAAACCTGACATTTTAGTGGAAAGGGGAGAAAATGACGCTATCCCTTTAATGGTTTTTGCTGCAATTTTCTTAATTGCAGCTTGAGATTTCAATCAATCATACAAAAATAAACTTATCTGAAACAAATATTGCTAAAACTTCCAAGGGCACAATTGCAAATGATGAAAGGGTATTCAAATAAGTCTCTTGTAGAGTATGAGGAAATATGCTCTTCAAAATATGTAAGCACATGCCTGTCTGTTTATCCTATGTAAGAATGGTAAGTAAAACTATGGAGAAAATAGGCATGCAAGACCAAATATAGTCTGCTGTGGAAT